ACAGTTGACCTGTCACTTTCACCGGTTTCATAAACCTAGTGTTATTGTTATATAGGGTTCACATGAATGCGCATGCAACTATTCCAATATTTCGAGATACAGTAATGTCTCTCTAATTGTCGCCCAGATTGACCACAAAAATGGAGAATTTGGGAAGGGTAGACACGATTATTCGAGCCTTGCGGTTTATTATTATAGTTATAAATTGTCCACGATTATAAAAACGAGCCGCAAGGCTCGAATAATCGTATCTCCTCCTCCCAAATTATCCACTTCCGTGGACAATCTGAGCGTCAGTAAGGGAGACATTACTCTGTACATTACTCTCCTATTATAATAACACGTTGTAGATTTTGCGGATTATCGACTAAAATAACTAGGTTAAATACAAAACTGTGAAGACATTAGAAGAATTGAACAGTGTCTTTCTAATATGTGCAACTTATTGGAGTGACAAAAAGAGGGAAGAGCTCTTACGGAATGAATTAAAATTCGAGCCATTTAATCCAAAAATATTCGAATGAAAATGAATTGAAATGAAAAAAGCAAATCCACTAAACGCAACCAATGGGCAAACCAATGGACAAACAGTCTTAACTCGCTCTGAACAGCACGATACTGCTGTACAAATCCGCATTAAAACCCTCGGGGAGGTATGGAATCCGGCTCTGGGTAACCGCAACTAATTCTAACATTTAAATAATTGAGAGATTCCAATCTGAGACGTTACGAAACATTGTTATGGCTCTCTGGTATATACCCAACGATCAAATTAGAAACGACCTAAATATATCAACGGTTGCAGTAGAAATACTACTATTCTACCGCAGATACAAAGACGAACCATCTAACCAGTCCAACAAGTTCGCAGAAAATCTACTTCAAGATCGAAGATGCATAAAACACTCCAGTAATAAAAAATAAAACATTTAATCAGACAGCATGCAACCGCTAATTTCAACCTGTAAATATAAGCACTCTTGTACACATATAACTAGCATTGCTGTACAGGATGTCCCAAAATTGTGGTAGTTCCGTCAAATGAGGGGTTTCTGAGGTGATTTGAAACAACTTTTTCCTTAGCGAAAATGCAATCCGCGGCTTCGTTTACGAGTTATTAACGAAAAACAGTGACCAATGAGAGACGGGCTCGGCCGGTGAGACGCGGGCCAGCCAACGAGCGATCGGAGCCCTGTTCGGCTCATTGGCTCGGCCGCGTCGCGTCAGGAGAGCTCGCATCTTATTGGTCGCTGTTTTTCGTCGATAACTCGTAAACGAAGCCGCGGATCGCATTTTCGCTAAGGAAAAAGTTACTTCAAATGACCTCAGGAACCCCTTGTTTCCTGGAAATAGCATAATTTTGGGACACCCTGAATAGTCTTTTCTTTTACATTGTGTTATTCTTCTGCAGTGTATCACGAAATAGGTACTAACCATAAGTAAGAAGTACCTAAACATTAACCACATCATTGCACAATGATATCAATGTTACTAAATGTCATCAGACAGACTGTATAAATAAATAGGCTTAAAAAAACCAAAAAGTTTGAGGAATGTTTGCGAGATCGAGTCAAGTCGACTTGAAGGTAAATTTTGCAGATGATTACATTTCGAAATGACAGCAAATAATTTCCAGAATTCTTTCGTGTTGAGAAATCTGGAGCATTGCTGGAACGGAGGTCCTGTAGAAGATGAGTACCTCCTTGAGGAGACGATTAGCATACCCTTGAATATCTCCACCGGTTGTGAAAGGGCAGGTAGATACGATCATTTCGAGTGCGCACGGCAGCAACGATAACCGTTAAGAGCGGAGGACGATTATCGCGGGCGAATGTGCTTTCAGATGCTACAGTTATCGGATTAAGGGCTGCAGGCGCTTTTTGCGAATCGTTTCGGCCGGAGTAATACCGAATCGTTGCGGTGTTGCCCGTGCCGATTGTACGATTCTATCGCAAAGCGCAACAGTCATTGGAGCGTTAGGAATGCCGCAGCTATTCCGGCGTTTCTATGTACCCGAATTCGGTCGGGCAATCCGTTTCCGACCTGCAAATAATTATACGTAAGGCCGGCGCGACGCGGCGCGTCGAGAACGGTGGCAAATGGGCCGGAAACATCGGTCGTAATTCCGGTACGAAAAAATCTCGCAGCGCGCCACGGAGATCAAGTGAATCCTAACGATCGGCTGGCGCTGAATAATTCGCTGGATAATCTTCGCACGTGCGGAGAAAGTGAGGAACTCGTTCGGATCCCGAGAGTCTCGTTGCAGATTGCATCGCGTATCGCCGAGATTTACGCGCACCGCGGCGCCGCGCCGAAGCCATGATTTTTGCAAATCGCCTGTTCATGTCCCGCCGTGCAGCCGAGGTTATGCGACAGATAAGGGGACGTCGATTCCAAATTGTCGAACGGGAAACGCCGGATCCGACCGCGCGATCGTGCGCACCGACGCGTCGGCTCGCGTGTTGCTTTATCGCGGCGGCTCGAACGCTACGCTCGACGAGAAACATATTTGTATGCGTCTCACATTCCTTCGGCCTTACCACCGGAACATTAATCTTCCTCCGTTCGACTACGTGCGTTACCATTTTTGTGTGTATTTATCATTGTGCTGCGATTTTACTCGCACGTTCTGCAACCGCGTTCGCAACGAAAATTCGCTCCGATGAATCGATGCGCGGTTATGCATAGGCTCGCATATTCGAGCGGAACCATCATGCATCGTGACAAGGGAGACTGCTTGTAGCGATATCAATAGCGATAATCGATTAGGGGAATTATACGTGTTTGCTTGGAAAAGAAATTTCTTTTCTGTGTGACGTTACTAGACTTGCATAACTGCGAATGCGTTTAATTTCATTGTGATTGGCGAATCGTTGTGATAATACCGCATTGTATAGTGCAAAGAAAACCTGGAACTAATTATTCGTTCGTTGTTCAAGCGGAACCATTATGCATCGTGACAAGGGAGACTGCTTGTAGCGATATCAATAGCTATAATCGATTAGGGGAATTATACGTGTTTGCTTGGAAAAGAAATTTCTTTTCTGTGTGACGTTACTAGACTTGCATAACTGCGAATGCGTTTAATTTCATTGTGATTGGCGGATCGTTGTGATAATACCGCATTGTGTAGTGCAAAGAAAACCTGGAACAGATTATTCGTTCGTTGTTTTGTCAGCTACCAACGCAATCATGATACGCAACACATCTTCCACAATTAGGTCGTTCATAATCTTCCGCAACGGTGATGATGATGATGATGAGCACAATATTACATGCCTCTTCAACCACGAAACTGTTGTGTGGACCTGGAACAATGATGGGCTTCATTAAAATCATGGTCACAAGTGAATTCAGCAATGATGAAAATGATGAACGTGCTTTTGTCAAAATCTATCACATTCTAAATAAACATCGTTCAACAGGAATTATTATACAAATTATTCGCAAAGTTTGAACCTTGGACGGCCGACCATTTTTATAACTGTACTATTGGCGATGTTTCTCGCGATTCTGAGCTTTGCTCAGCAATTTTTCAAAACATATTTTTACAGATATTTCCCGCAGACTCATCAGCCTCTTCGTTGTTCCATATGTAACAACAATTTATTTTATTCGACTGCCGAAAATTCAGCAATTAAGTGAACGATTTGAATACTCGGGGTCAAAATTGACACAGCCACCGCCTTGCGAAGGGTTAAGTAACAACGGTTGAAACAATTGATTAATAAATGTTAGCGATTCTTTGCGATATGAGTAAAGTAAAAATACCCTTGATATTTGTGAAATCCTATTTTTCGAAGGAGAAAACTATAATGTGATTGTCACGAACCAGATAACCAGCTATTGGGACTGTCGGTGAATTTCAAGTCCCTTTTATCGAACAACAGGCCGCGATGCACTTCGACACTGCACCGCTACTTGAACAGTCGGCGTTCCCCCGAAGTTCGCATTAATAATCGAATCACTCTTCTTTCTACTTCCGGAGATACTGCATGCGGAAACATGCAACGCGACCAGCGTGCCGAACCGCGTACTTCGGGCAGAACAAACCAAGAAAAAAATGTGTGTGTGACGAGTAGGACGTATAATCTGGCCGAGAGCCAGGGCGAGTTTCGAGGCTAACGACATTAGAATATTTGTCGTGTAACCCGACCTATCGGGAGCAGATTCTTGCGGAGGGATCCGAACAATGTGTTTCCTGCGTGCGCCGCTCTTGTTCCCGGAACCGAAGCGCTCGGAATGCTAATCGTCCAAACTTTTAATGTATCGTATAACACGAGCCGAATTAGTGGAAAACTTTCAGTTCTACCTTGAAATATTTTTCCAGCCATCGCTGCATTCATACTGTATAGAGGGGTATCCGAGATCGAAGCCGACAAACTTTGTCAACATGTTCGCAAGATCATTCCGTGCAAAAAATGTTATACACATGATGTTCATTTCATCATGCACGTTGAAGTATCGTCGTTATTTTTGCCGACACAAGAAAATGTGTCGGGCCAACTTTCTTCAACTTAAAGCTAACCATTCTTTTTCTCTCAAGGTCTTCTTTTTCAAGAATCGAAGGTCGTCGCTATTTTTTCCACATTAACCCTGATCATAACACAAAAAATGCGAAGCAAACATAAACTAAACATACTAGCTTTTGATAACATAAAGTTGATTTCTAAATTTATTAAGGTCATCAAGGAATAAGTCAACGTTGTTAATATAAACGAGTCTTAGCCAAATTAAGAATCCTATTAAAATTATAACATTATAACTATCGGCTTTCCAAAGTCATTTAATTTTCCGTAAGTATCCTGATACTTTCGCAGCAGGGTGAGCATGAAAAAATCGCTGTCCTCGATATAAGCTCGCTGAAATTACAGGCGATTTATTCAGAGCCTTCCGTGGCCCGGTGGAAAAATTCCGAGCGACGGCTGGCAGAGGAATATAGAAATTGTTGCGGGTGTTACCGATCTGTCCCTAACGCCGGTTTTCATCTCTCGTTTCAGCTGACAAAGGTATGCTGCTGAAGCTCGACTTTCGGGACGAGTTCAAGCTCGAGGAGAGCGCCGACTGCCGTTACGATTTCCTGGAGGTACGTGACGGCCAGCACGGCTACTCCAATCTCCTCGGGAACTTCTGCGGCACGAATTTCCCCCCTGAGATCACGTCGAAGACGAGATATCTCTGGCTGCGATTCCGCAGCGACGATAGCATCGAGGGCAAGGGATTCAAGGCCGTCTGGAGCATGATACCCAGGCCAACTTACCGTAAGTCCGCGGTCTTCTTACCGTCCGTCACGTCGCCTCGGGCACGCCGCACGAGATTTTCGAAGTCCCGTAAGATCATGCACGACATCTCGCAACACTCGGCCCCGAAACACTCGGAAAGCTATCCGCAGGGTGCCGCGGAACCGATGATCAACGTCGATCTCGCACCGCCGCGTCGCGAGAATGTCAAATGAGATTGCACGCCGGATACGCGGGTCAGAGGAAGCTAATATTTGTTCGCACATTCCGGGAGTGAAAGATAGCACGCGCACGCGGTGATTAGATTCTCGGTGACACGACCTGGATGTTCCGGGCGCGACGAATCCTACGGGAGACCGGAGTCGAAAGTAAACAGGGAGGGAAGAGCAACGTTGTAAATATTTTACAATCTAATACAGCTGTCATTGTATATTTTTTTATGTAGAGTCGTCCCTTTTGTAACACGACACTTTGGGAACGCGGTTTCGATATATCAGCGTGTGAAAATATCGGCGGCCCTTTTACAACAACGCGGTGTTTCTGTAACACGATTATTTTTTCTGACGCAGCTCACCTTGGTAGCAGAAATGTTTCCATCGCGACGCGGTTTTTTTGTTGATATTATATAAGCAGGACGTTCGTTTTGTAGATAGAGTGGCTAATAAAAGTGTTCGAACACCATTTAAATCGTTTTTTCAAACTAATTGACTCGAATATTTCTTAGGTGATAGAGGTATTAATCCGCTAGACAATGAGTGAAATGCTTCTTTTAATGTTGCTCTTACTTGGAATGACAAGAAAAGTAAAGAACTCTGACATTTGTGAGAAACAAAAAATAGAAATGCGAGGAAAAATATCGAGAAAAAAGAGAAATAAGAATTTCCCTGATTTCCATATTTTTCTGAACAACTTAAACGTTACTCGTTGCAAATCGAACATACCGTGGTTAAATAATGTCGAATAGCTAGGCAACTGTTTTTGGCATCAGACTCTTTGTTGTAAATGTAATGCAAACATTATTTTCTAGCTTCGCGATATTTAATTGCGCGAATTAAAGCTGGCAAGGGATGTTTACGTAAACCAGAGTATCTCGAGACTTGCAGAAAATTAAATTGCAATAAATTAAAGTTCGCAAGCCGTCGTTTCTGATTGAAAACCATAAACTACCATTGTCCAATTGGCGTAACCAACCGAGACAATTATAGAAGATAATGAAAGAAGACCTCGAACTCGGATGAAATTCGATCGACTTTTTAATTTCAGTCTGCCGAAGCCCGTGGCTAGAAGTCGGAAAGTTATTTACAACTTGCTGTACACCTAAATTGTGCCTTCATTAAACTTCTGCTATGCAAACCGACATGTTCGATCGAAGAAGTAATGAAATTTACCGACGCGGATCTGACGAGTAATTGCCGACATTATACAATTACGAATAGCCCTCTAAACACAGAGCCGAGGAGAAATAGATTCTTGAAATAGTAAATAAACTATAAATATTTTTATCTTCTTAGGTAATATCGTAGAATTTGGGAAATAAACTTTTTTTTAAAATAGTAGTTACATATGGAAATAACATATCAAATATATTTGACTGCATAATATCCATATATAACTACTATTTCAAAAAAAGTCATTTTCCAAATTCTATATTACACGAGAAGATAAAAATACTTATAGACTATTTACCATTTCAAAAATCTATTCTTTCTCAGCCCTGCAATATCAAGTTCGGCCTCCCCTAGGCAGAGCAATTCTGACAAGAATTCGCAAAGAATATATAGACTATTAACTATTATAAATATAGACTATTTACTATTTCAAAAATC